GATGACAGACACGCACACAAGGCAGCGCAGACCCCACAGACGCAAGCTAGCACACAGGCGACCCAACCCAGCCGCCGCTGCACGCTGGGACCGAAGGACGCTGCGGCGGTCATCAGAGCGCGGATTCCAGGACTGGGAGTGTCGCGCAAACGCTAGCCTGGGGCTCTCGAGACCCGGATTCAAGATGGGAAACTTTTCTGACAGCCCTGGGCGGCTGCTGGCACTCTGGGCAGCGCGGGGATGGGGCGAGTTGGCACCAGCTCCCGCACTCGTATCCCCTCCCTTCGCGACTCAGACCCGCAGGACCCGGACAGAGCAGACACCTGCCCGCCTCTGGCAGGACAGAGCGTGGCTCTCTAAGGAGCACACACATCACGCGCGCGCCTTCCGGACACCGGACCCCGAAAGGTGGGGTCCGCTTTTCCTCCTCTGCCGGGAACAGCTCGGCTCCTGCTCCTTTGTCGAAGCCTGGACGGGGCGGGATGCTGGTCGTAAGGGAAGCTCAGCCCCGGCTCACAACTCCGTGGCTGGAGCGGGGCGGGTCCTCAAAGGGCGGGGCCCGGCGTATCCAGCTGGAGCGGTCCTCCAGTTCCCGCGGGCTGCACCCCCGGAACGCTGCCCTGGGCCTGGGAAGGAGGGGCTGGAGCGGGCTGAGGGGGGCGTGCGCTCCATGGTGACCGTGGGTTTGCTTCCTTCGTATCCCGCAGGCTCCCCGCATGCCCGCTAGGCTCAGGCCTGGTTTGGGGCTTGAAGACCCAACTCACCCTCTTTGCCCGGGCCCTGTGCCTGGCTGCCCATCCCCCAACAGTAAAGCGACTCGGCCTCCTGGGACAGACATGGTTTATTGATTCCGGCTAGAGGCACCGCGGTGCAGCGGTCCGTTTGGTGCTGGGAGGAACGGAAGGAAAGACAGACGCTTGGCTCTACACGGGCGAGCCCCGAGGGAGGGGGGCGCGCGCCTCTTCCTCTCTACAAGGAGCGCAATCGCTTCGCTTGCCTCGGCGCTCCACACCCCACTGGACAAAAGGGAGAGGGACACTGAATGGTCTACGGGGGGTCGGGGGTGGGATTCGGGCAGGAGAAGTCGAGGCTGGGGAGGGGCTGGGGTACGCGCTAGAGGAGGCGGGCCGAGCCTGAGCTGGCCAGTGCTCGCTTGCAGAGAAGCAGCCACTTTGACCCAAGGGGGTGGGGCGGGCGGCCTGGAGGAGGAGCGAGGCTGCTAGCTGCGGGTATGGTAGTAGTGGTAGTCGTCCTCGCACCCGTCAAAAGGGCCAGGAGGGCTGCAAGGCGCGCCGTCGGGGCCAGGTACTGGACGCTCACGCAGGCGCATCGCATCGTACAGACCCTGCGGCGGCTCGTCCAGCAGCACATCGCGCTCGGAGCGGGAGCGCGTCAGGAGGCCCACGTTGCGCAGCAGCAGTAGAACGGGCGCGTAGAGCAGGTTGGCCAGGCCCATGCCCAGGCTGAGCTGCTCAAAGCCGAGCGAGTGCACGATGTGGCCCGCCACTATGGGCCCGAGCGCGTAGGCCACTGAATAGGAGATGTCGGCGATGGCGTAGACGCTGCCGTAGACTGAGACGTGGCGCACGTCCACTAGGAAGGCGAGCGTGGGCAGCAGTGCTGTGTCGACCAGCGCTATGCCGAAGCAGAGGCCGCAGAGCGAGACCACCAAGGGCGCGAAGGAGCGGCAGGCGGGCACAATGCACGAGCTGGCACCGATCACAGCCAGCCCCAGCGCCCCATACAACCACTGCAGGTGCGGGTAGCGCGCCGCCAGGCGCACTGTGAGGTAGACGCCTAGCACGTGCGGCACGAAAGCCGGCAGCCAGGCCATGCCCATCTCCCACTCGGACGCTGCCATCGTGTGCTTCATCCACGTGGCGATGGTGGGCTCGAGGAAGGCGAGGGGAATGTTGCAGGTGGTGAGCGCGCCGGCTACCACGGCGATGTAGGGGTCTAGCATGAGGCGGTGGATGGGCGTGCCCACCGGCAGGTTGGCCCGAGCCCGTGCAGCCGCTGAGAAGGGCTTGGCCACCGCCAGCAGCAACAGCGCGTCGCAGAGCGACACCGCGGCGAGCACCAGGAAGGGTACGCGCTTGCCGGCGAACTCATAGAGGATGCCCCCAAAGGGCGGCGCCACCAGGCTTCCGAAGCTGATGAAGGCCAGCGCCACGCCCAGCGCTCGGCTGCGCTCTGGCTCCTCCGGATACTTGTCGGCAATCATGGCTATGCCGGACGTGTCGGCGAAGGCCGAGCCCAGGCCCTGCAGGCTGCGCGCGGCGAACAGCGTGGCGTAGTCCTCGGCGAAGGCGAACATGACGGTGGAGGCGAACATGACGCCCAGGCCGATGAGCAGCGGCACATCGTAGCTCATGCGGTCGATGAAGGGCCCGCTCAGGGGGTTCACCAGCAGCTGCAGGATGGCCTTGGAAGCAAACAGCACCCCGATCTTCACGTCTTCGCTCTCCGTGGGGTATCGGGGCCGCAGGCCCGACCCGGCAGGCCACGCAGCCGTCGGGGGCGCCGAGCTGTTGGCCGTGTAGGCGCTGGCATTAGCTGGAGTGGGCAGCGGCAAGGTGGGCTCCCACACCTCGGGGGTCGAGCTGGAGCTCTCGCCGCCCCCGCGCATGTGGGCGATGTAGTCGGGCACGATAGGCACGATGACCATGTACAGCATGTTGTCCAGTAACAGCGCCACGCACACGATGACCAGCACCAGGCGCCGCTGCCGCCGGGGCTCCTGCAACACCGCGCCCACTGCCTCCGACAGCTTTGTGGCCGCTGCCCGGGCCTGGCCCGGCGGTGCCGCGGGTTCCATGCCTTCACCCCGCTGCTCTTCCGAGGACCCCTCCACCAGGGTTGGGCGCGGGCGTCCCGCAGTGCAGAGGCGAGGGCACTGGACTTTGGGGGCGCGGTCCTCGCCGAGCAGCGGCTCCTGTGCCTCAGGTGGCCGCGGGACTCATGGCCCCGAGCCCCGGAAAAGGCAAGGACTCCGTCTGGAGAAGAGCCGCGGCTGCTCTTAGCGGATCTGGGGACCCGCCTCCGCTGGGCTCAGGGGCGGCCGGGGAGGCGGGCGCTCCGAGGGGCTGGGGCCGGAGACTGGGCGCACTGCACCCCGGGCGCGCCCGGAGCAGCCCCCGCCGCGCTGAGAGGCAGCCCGCGCTGCCCAAGGGGCATGCTGCTGCCTCCCGCCCGCCCGCTCGCCTGGCCGCCGCGCTCCCCTCCCCTCGCGTCGGCTCTTGCCTCCTCCGCCTCTTCTTTTTTCCCTTCCACTCGGGGCTGTGACGCGGCGAGTCCCAGCCCCCGAGTGGTGCCCGGGCCACTTGCGTCGCTCATGCTAATGCGACGTCGGTGGGGCGGGGGCCGGGGGCGGGGCGTGGCCGGGCAGGGGTCGGCTCCCCAGATGCGCCAGGGCTGGAAGCCCCAGGAAGGGGTCTTGGTGCAGAAGAGTCCCGGACGAGCCCCTGGGGATGGGTGCGCCGCGCGAGGAGCCGGCCCTGTCTGCCCCCACCTCCGGGTCTGGGATCTGCGGGCTCAGCGCCGGCTCTTCTCCCCCCGAGAGACGCGAGAGGCAGCAGGTTCCCTGCGGCCCCCCGGGAGAGGGGGGAGCCCGGCGCTGGAGAGCTCCGCCTCAGCCAGGATCTCCGCGCACCGCGGGCAGGGAGCCCCCGAGGTGAGCCGCGCCCGAGTCCATCTGTTCTCGCAGCCGGATAGTGGAGCCGCGACCCGAGGGGCGCTGGGCACTGACCCCCAACCCTTTCTCTGGCCCCGCCCCTGGCCCCGCCCCACCAAGGAAGGGAGGGGGAGGCTCAGGGACTGCTGGGCCTGGTTCCGACCCCGGCCCCTGGGCAGAATGTTACGCAGCGAATTTGCGACTGCGAGCATATGGGGATCGAGAGGACAAGTTGCTTCGCCCCCACCCGGGGCCGGGAGTAGCAGCCCAGCCCCTTCCACCCTCCCCACAGCCTCCCCACACTCCTCCTGCCTGGACTCCCCCTTTCTGCTTTAACTGTTCTGGTGCCCCAGCTCCGCCTCTTCTTTATTCCCTCCTCTCACCCCCTCCCCACGTAACTCCTCCCAGGCCCTCCTCGTACTAGACCCGGCCCTCCCTCGGCTGCTGCGAGCCTCCGCCCACTGTTCTACTCCCCCTCCTCATCCCCAGAGCTGCCTGCAAGCCCTGGGTGGACTCGGGGGTAATGTGGCGGGGTCCTCTCTTGGAGCTGTAAGAAAGCCCGCGTGGGTGCAGCGCCCGCAGCTCCGCTGCTATGGGAA